GCAAGTTGGTACTTTGGTGTTCCAATGTTTCACAATATTATGTGTTAAAACAAACTGAAGTGTTTGATAATGTGAATCAAAGCAGACTTCTTATTAGTCAAAACATCAAGTACAGTATTGCATTCTTTCTCACTGATTGTTTGCTTATCATATTAGCAACTTTTTCTTGGTTGCTAATAAAAGCTTGTGGTTTAAATTCTTTAAAAGAAAGATTTCTAAAATTGCCTTTTTTTTCTGCCCAAATAATATCTTCCTTTAAACTTAATGCCTTTATCTCCCTATTAGAAAGGTCCAGACCTGGTGTTGGATTTAGAGGAAGAGTTCATGTTTTTTTTTTTTTTTCCAGAACTCTTGTTCCTTAAGAAAAAATAATCCCAGATGTCCAGGTTATTCTTTCTTAGAGTTTAATAGCAAACTATCACTATTGTAGTTATCAGCTACCATTTCTAAAATTGGAAGTAAAAGATAGAAATAATGCATAAACTTTTTTGAAAAAAGTGGTACTTAATGCTTCAAATATGATTACAAAGATCAACTGATAAATTCATGTGGGAGATAAGAATATAAAGAAGTTATTCAGACCTACTAATAATCAAGGGAATGAAAATTAACATAATAATATGCCTTTGTGCTTCGATTAAATTAGGGAAGAAATGTAATATTGAGAGTACTCAGAAGTACAGTTGGTGCATTGGAAATTGGTGCTACATTTTTTTATAATGAGATTGATGATGTGTATTAAGCTATAGTAGCAATTGGACAATATTATTATTTTTTAATAATATTTTTTTGACTATGCTATTACAGTTGCCCCAATTTTTCCCTCTTTGCTCCTCTCCACCCAGCAGCCCCCACTATCTCAGGCAATCCCCCAACCGCTATCACGTCCATGAGTCATTCCTATAAATTCTTTGGCTACTCCATTTCCTATACTGTACTTTACATCTCCATGGCTATTCTGTAAGTATCTATTTGTACTTCTTAATCCCCTCACCTCTATACCCATTCTCCACATCCCTCCCATCTGGCAACCATCAGAACCCTCTCTGCATCCATGATTCTGTCTTTGTTCATCTTGTTTCCTTAGTTTGTTTTTTAGATTCAGTTGTTGATAGATGTGTATTTACTGCCACTTATTGCTCATAGTTTTTATCTTCTTTTTCTTAAATAAGTCCCTTTAACATGTCATATAATAATGGCTTGGTGATGATGATATAATTTAGTTTTTTTCTTGTCTGGGAAGCTCTATATCTGTCTTTCAATTTTAAATAATAGCTTTGCTGGGTAAAGTAATCTTGGCTGTAGGTCCCTGCTCTACATGACTTTGAATATTTCTTGCCAATCCTCTCTAGTCTGCGAAGTTTCTTTTGAGAAATCAGCTGACAGTCTTATGGGAACTCCCCTGTAGGTAACTAGCTGCCTTGTCTTGCTGCTTTTAACATTCTCTCTTTATCTTTAAACTTTGGTATTTTAATGATGACGTGTCTTGGAGTGGGCCTCGTTGTATCCATGTTGTTTGGATTGATTGTTTTGTTTACTTCCTTATGTTCCAGATCATTATTTGATTATCAGCTTTAGTCACTCTACTGTTGTTTTCTTGTAGGTTGTTCTCCTGTAAGTTGTTCTTTATTTCAATTAGTGAATCCTTTGTTTCTGAATGGATCTTTTTTATGCTGTTCAGTTCCCTGAGCATCCTTATAACAAGTGTTTTGAACTCTGCATCTGATAGATTGTTTATCTGCATTTTGTTCAGTTCTTTTTCTGGAGTTTTGATCTGTTCTTTCATTTGGGCCACGTTTCCTTGTCTGCTCATTTTGGCAGTCTCCCTGTTTTTGTTTCTATGTATTAGGTAAGGCTTCTATGGCTCCCTGTGTTGGTAGCATGGCCTGATGTATTAGGTGTCCTGTAGCGTCCAGTGGCACAGCCTACCCCATCACCCATGCTAGGTCCACCCTTCCTGTGGGCTGAGTACACCCTCCTCTTGTAGTTGAGCCTTGGTTGCTATTGGCAGATCAATGGGAGAGATTTACCGAGGCCAGTCAGCTGCAAGGATTGACTGTGACCACTAACCACCAATATCCATCCTCTGTAGGATCCTCTGAGGATCAGCTGTACAGGGGTTGGCTGTTGATGTCTGACATGGTCTGTAGCTGTCCACTGGGTGTGCAGACTCTGGGGTTTCCTGGGTGGTGCAGGCCAAGGTCAGCCCTTACCTGTATTTTGCCCAGGGCCATCCTGGGCTATGAAACAATCTGAAATGGCTGCTATTTGTGCTGGGCTTGGAGATTCCCAGGTGAAGTCAAGCTGTGAACCTACACTGGCTGTTGCTAATATTGGGGCCTGGGCCATTTATCAAGAGGTATGGAGGTTGGGTGATCACTGAGGCCAACTGTTGCCTGTTTGAGAGGATTTAGGAAGATGTGAAGCATGAGCCAAGACCAGCCATTCATATGGAAAAGTTGCTGTTAACAGCTTGGGTGGCCCCATAATTTAGGTGGAGCATAGTCTTAGGAGATCTCAGGATGGGAAAATAGTGTTAAGCCAGGTTAATGTAGTCTCAGATATGGCACCTCCCTGCCAGCTCTGTGGCTCTGTGGGGAGAGGGTTCAGAAAAGAGACAATGGCTTCTGCCTGCTTTTCTGTCTGGGAGAAAGCTGTCCCTGAGCTCTCACCTTGATGCAAGACACTTCAGTTTCTCCCTGTATGCCACTGATGCCTTTCAAGCTGCTACCCTGGTGCTAGAGCTCAGAGAGAGTGAGTCCGAGGAAGTCCGTGTATGGGTTCTTTAAGAGGAACTGCTTGGGACTCTAGAACTTACTTTTACCAGCTCAGTCCCCACTAATTTTTGCAGCTAGAAGTTATAGGGACTTATCTTTCTGGCACTGGAACCCTGGGATGGGGCTCTGGTGTATTGCTGTGACTCCTTGCTCCTGAGCTATCCTTCCAAATTTTTTCCACCACATATGGATACAGGACCATACTGTTTCATGTCTCTGCCCCTCCTACCAGTCTGGTTGAATGTGGTTTCTTTAATTTCGTAGTTGTCAGATTTACATTTAACTCAATTTCTGATGGTTCTGAGTGATGATTGTTTTATCATCACTAAGTTGTAATTTTGGTGTGGTTGTGTGAAGAGGCAAACTGTGTTTACTTATGTCACCATCTTGACCAACTGTGTTTACTTATGTCACCATCTTGACCAGCAGTCCTCAATTGAAAAATACTCTACAAAGTGTGGCACAACCTTTAGATAGAATATTATGTAGTCATAATAATAACAATTTTAAGTAGTAACAGAAATAGCCTATAATAAAAGTTGAAAAAGATAGCATACATACCCTTATAAATTCATATAAACCTATGTAAAATGTATAATGCAAAGGGTGAAGCCTAATGTGACCTATGGAGTTCGGTGATAGTGGTGTGTCAATGTAGATTCATCAGGTGTAACATATGTGCTACTCTAATGGGGAGTGTTATTAATGGGGGGAATTATGCATGTGTGGTGTCAGCGGTGTATAAGAAATTTCTATACCCTACACTCAATTTTGCTGTAGGGTAAAATTGTTCTAAAATTGTTCTAAAAAATAAAGTCTATTAAAAAAAAGACAGGATACAAATAATCCAACATTTTAAATGAGAGGCCAGGTAGTATATATTTTTAGCTTTAAATATGTTGGCTGTGGAGTTGCAGCTGCTCGCCTCTGCTGTAGTAGTGAGAATCCAGACAATCTGTAGATAAATGAGCCTGGCTGTGTTCCCATAAAACTTCATCTACAGAAACAGCTGGGCCAGAGTTTGCTGACTCCTGGCCCTACAGATTTATGAACTCTGTGGTATTCTGGGTTGGCTAACACAATTTTGTATTCTGGATTGGCTTAGAAATTTATAAACTGTAAGTTATCTTTATTTTGGATTGGTTAGCATCAAATTGGCTAGCACAAAGAAAGATAATTACCATTACTCCTATGACTTCATAAGACTGTCTGCAAGTTCATTAAAGCTCTTTCTGGGGAATAATAATGATGATGATCATGACTATGACAACTACAGCTAAATTCTATTTGGATTTTCTTACTACAATTAGATGATGTCATGGTGTTCCCAAGTAGAATTAAGAAAATCTTTGATGTGTGACGAAAACATACTGCTATTTTAGGCTGATATACAGGGTCCAGCACAAATAATGCCCTTTTAAAATTACAAACTCTTTTATTACAAAATCACAAGCATGCAATTCTGTAACATAACAGTATCATACTCAAGCATACCATATCACATTTTAGGTGAAATGTTCAAATTAAAACTATAAATTATTACACCCATACTATTACCCTACCAACCACACTCAAGCAGGCCTTACTTCTGTTGGACCCTCTGTATATTATTTTATTACTATATAAAATTAATTAAATATAACTAATATATTTATTTGATTATTATATATTAAGATATACTTACATTGAAATGATCTTCTTGTGATTTTCTATATCTACATTTGGCTATTTATTAGGATAGTATTTAAAACAATGTGATATTAAAGTTGATACAGAGGCAAATTTGTTTTCTTACTCTTGTGGTCAGAATGATGAAGCTCAGTCTTATGTATCATCTCTGTACTTGCTATGAGAATCACAAAAATGACTAGTTAGATGATATTTCAGAATGAGCTGTAAGTGCTGATGGGTGAATTATTTCCTGTTTTTATTAACTTGAACTTTCCCTGAGACTCATACAGAAATATTACAGTGGCTAAGCTCACTGTAATTTTCTGTTCTCTGAACAATTTGGGGGGGGCAATAAGACTGAATATTTACAAATATATACATGTATTTATTTGTCATTTCTTTGCTTAAAGTCTGCACTATTTTCCCCATTACCTTTAGGACAAGGGCCAACTTCCTTTACTTCTATTACAAAGCAACAGTTCTAGCCATTACTTTCTTACACTCTGGGTTTCAACCCTCTCCAGCTGCTTTTGCCTGGGGCTAGTTCAGCACAAGTTGCTCCTCTTGCTGAAGCAATTCTCTTCCTTCTCTCTTCCTCTGGTGAGTGGGAGCACTCACCCTGCAGAGCTCCATTTAAAGGTTGCTTTTGTTTTTGTAAATTTTGTCCATTCCCTCCACTAGGTTGGACATACATGGTATATGTAGCTCCTCTGCCATAGCGCTTATTTTTCCCATTATTGTTTGTTTGAGTGAGTGTCTTCCTCAGCAGCTGGATTGCAGGTAGGAATTATCTGTTGGGTTGGCCAAAAAATCCATTCAGTTTTTTCCATAAAATAAAAGACACATTTTTCATTTTCACCAATAACTTTATTGATTTGGACATTTTGAGTATGTCGGCTATCTCCTGCTATTGGCTTCTAGTAGGTAGAGGCCAGAGGTACTGTTAACAAAATGCCTAAGACAACCCCAAACAAAGAATTATTTGGCCAAAATGTCAATAGTACCAAGGAACTTTGCAAACCACTTTTGACATGTTTGATCAGTTGCTTCTCCATACACTGTATAAATCTTGTTTTTATTTCAGTTCTGTTTCTACCTCTCTTGAAATAATAAAGCACAATATGCTGAAAATCTTCTTCCATCTTCAATATTAAAATGGCTGCACAAAAATTTACCAGTTTTGATAAGTTTTTTTAAATGCATGATGATATGACATCTGTCACAATACAATCTAACAAAATTGTTTAGAATAAGTTAAAAGATGATTAAGCACCATGAGAGCCATGGTATGCAAAAACGTAACATTTTTTTGCCAACCCAGTATGTTGCTTAGCTTTTTATCTCTGTGTTTCAAGTATACTTGGGAGGGACTTAATAAATATTTCTTACATAGTTTATTGAGAAAAGTTGTAATTAGCCGCATGGCATTGATTCATTGTTTGTCTTTTAAAGTATAAATGAAGGATAAATATTGATTTATTTTTTTAAAAATTAAAGCACGGATGGAGTTCCAAATCATCGGCAATCCAGAATCCTCCTTCCTTTCCTGTGTAAGTCACTTTTTTTTCACATTTGAGCTGTTTAATGGGCAAATATTTATTGATAAGGATAAAAAGAAAGTAAAATATATACATATGTGTACATATATATATATAACTATGATTGTGAAATACAGAAAAATTTATATGCATGTGGATGGCTTGAAATTATGACAAAATTGAAGTGGCTCTTATATAAGATGGTAGGATTAAGGATCATACTTCTCTTGTTTTTTGTTTGATTTAATATTGTTCTTATATAGTCCTGAAAATATATAAATATTGCTTTATTTAGAAAATTCAGCTAAGTGCATTTATTAAAGAAATATATAAAATTTTGCATTTTATAACTAGGATAGTCAAAATGAATTTGATTGGAACTTATTTTGAGGAATATGACAATTTTATAAATCTTATTAAAATGATTTTCTTTTGAATTCGATACATTGACTGGTTTTATGCTTTATATTTTTCCCTTTTAAAATTTGGAAGTATATATTTTTATGTCCTTTCCAGTAGTTTACACTATAGGGCATCTTGGAAAATAGAAATTAAAAACAATAATTATTAAGCTGAACTATGTGAAATTGGCAAATACCAGAAATTTCTTGAGATTCTACGTAACAGGTACCTGTGTGCTCCCCTAGGCAATGAACAGAGCTAGGTGCTTGCACTAGATACAGGATGTTGAGTATGTAACAGCAGGCCGTTCGTTGTGTGCTGGTAAATGTTTTTAACAACTGGTTTTCTGAAACTGTACTGTGAGTTTAATATAAATTTCAATAGTTAATTATAAATAACCTTAAGTACATTTTAAGTTGATTATAAATTTTACAGATATAAAAGATATGTAGCAAGCAATTTATAAACACTAATAAAATATATAAAATCTTTATTATAAATGCCATATAAGGAATTGATTGTCACAGAAACATATCTTTGTTTTTTGTTGAATTCTTATATCTGTAGTCAACCTATGGCTGTATTTGATTTACCAGTATAGTTCCGACATAAATATTAGTTGATATTTTTACTTATTATAGGGTGATATGATTTCTTTGCTGAATCAAGTGATAGTTTTGAATACTGGAACAATATTTCTATTTTTTGTTCTTCACAGTGTGTCAGTTAAGTCAAGATACACTTTTTTTTATCTTCACCCAAGGATACATTCAGAGTGAGGAAGGGAAACAGCAATGCAAGAGAAACTTCCATTGGTTGTGTCCCAAATATGCCCTGACAGTAGAATGAACCCACAACCCAGGCATGTGCCCTGACTGGGGATTGAATCCTTGACCTTCTGGTTCATGGGACAATGCTCCAACTAGCTGTGCCACACTGGCCAGGGCAAGACATGATACACTTTTAAGTTTAGTCTGCATTATTAAAATTTTCTCCACCATTTTTTAAAGTCTCAGGCATCAACAAAGTAATAAATCAAGTCCTGATTGATAGCTTTTGCCAATTTCTGTGTAAATGACCCCACTGTGGTTATTTCAAGTTATCTATGTTATTTCAGACATTTGGAGAGATATATACCATTATCTTACCATACAGTTATGTGTATAATAACCCCAAGGGCACAAATGATAGTGAAATATCATAATATCACTAACAAATAATGACTTTTAGTATTTATTACTTTTGTTTTTATATAACTTATTTAACTTAAGTTTATATTATTTTGTTTTTAATGATGTTTTGTTAACAATACGCTAAAAAATTACTGAACATTTAATAAAAGCTAGCACAGCTGGTAGGCATCAGCACACTGTTGGCTTCAGTGTACTTTTTTATATGAGTCAGCATATATAATTTTTAACTACTAAAGTCTTATTTTTAAAAGTTATGGGCTGCATAGATTATTTCTTTCAGGGTCCCACGACTTGATTTGGGAAGCCTTGTTGGGTCTGATGAAGAGGTAATTTTTATTTAGTATTTAATATAGCAAACATTTGGATACAATATTACATGTATTATAGCATATAATAAGTTTCATTTAATTTTATTTTTAGGATTCTTAAAAAATATATTCCACTTAGTACAGTGCATATTCATTTTGACCCACCAAAATTTACCTTCTGCTCTTGATTGGGTCACACCATGTCAAATACCATATACTCAGCATCACCTAAATGAACTGGTTAGTATTTATTTCTTATTACCAACATTCTGAACTATAGTGTGCATTTTAGCACTATATTTAATCCGGAAATTTCATTAGGTTTAGTCTATGTTTTATTTAGTTTAAATATTTTTTATATATTAACATCCTAAGCAATAATGTTGGTGAAATAATTTTACTTTGTTTTATTTTTTTCTCACATCAGAATGGTATTATTAAGGTATCTTATAAAATTCGTAAAGTATAGGTTTATCCTCATAGGGAATCCAGGAATATAAAAATTATGGCAGAATAGATCAGATCTTGGTAGTTTAACAGTATACTATTTGTTTTTTATAAGTTGACTCATTTTTTAAGTTACTAGTATGTTATAAAATAAATAAGTCTACTAATTTCAAGGTATCTTCTTGGGACATATTTATACTTCACACAATATTTCGTGTTTTTACTTCACATTGTGAACACAAGTTCTGAGCATTCTATGAGTAGGGCTTACTTCTGTCTTTGTTAAGTCTTTTTCATTTACCTGGTTCTATTCATGTTCTCCTCAGTCTCACTGTGGATAATTGCATTAATAGTACCCTAGTCTGTATCATGCTGCAGTTTTCACCCTGAAGCTTTGCCTCATCCTTTTCTTCTGTGTTAACTTGGATGTTATCAATAGTTTCCAAGGGTTGTACTGGCATTACACTCCTTTTGAAGTGACAGCCTCTCTCTGGGCCGATACATATGCCCTAGGGTTTGTTTAATGCTTCTGGTTTCTCTTATCCTCTGACTCTTATATCTCACTCCCATGGAAGTGTGGCAGGGAACCAAATAATGCCAGAAGATAGAATATCTTAATATTCTGGAAATGGCAACCAGTACTTCTCAGTATTAGTGATCCGTAGTTCCTATGACTGTTCTGGAAGAAATGATTGACAGTTGAGATTTCTGGGGCAAGAAGGAAAGGCCTATCTAGAACTTCTAAAAACAAAGGAAAGTTGTTCAGTGTCTTCTCAAAGTATTTTAGAACTAGGAATGATTTTCACTGGGAAACAAGGTTCATACTTACTGATATTGGAGGCCAATGACCGTTTTGAGCAGTTCTGCCTGCTCTGATTGCTTAGTGATGCTGTACAGCTAAATGTTTTAACTGTCACTTCTGTTGAGAACCTAAGTATTAAATGTTAAGGTAAATGATAAACTTATTAATGTTAATAAGACAGATTAATAATTATTTTGATTTTTTTCTGGCAGACAGCATACTTTTTCTTTTTGCCTTAGGAGCAGGACATTATACCTGAAGATTTGCCAGCAACAACAGGAAATTATAAACAAAAATATCAGCAGTACAAACCTGAAATGGAAGAGGGATATAAAGAGTATAGTCAGAGGAATGCAGAAAAGACAAAATCAAATACCACACCTCAACCGTCTCCAAGAAACAAGATAGAGGACAAGGTAATGTATGAGGCTTTATAAAAAGAGCACACATATTATACAAACATCTTTTGTTGTCTAGTATGTCTTGCTATTAGTTGTACTAAGTGTGCCTCAGACCATTTTAAGTATTTTACTTAGATTAACTAGTTTATGATTCATAATAACTCTGATGGAGTATTACTAGCATTTTAAGGTATGAAATCTCTTAGACAGGAGTTTCAAAAACAAGACAAGTTTTCATCAGTGATTATCCTACTGGAACACCTTTCCTGTTGTTAATGGAACATCAGCATATCTTATATTCAGAGAAGAATGTATTGTCTATCTCTTCAGGACCCCAGAGGATCTTCACCTCAAAGGATACACCCCCTCTTTTTGTACTTTAGCTCCAAATTTAAGTTTATAAAAGATGTCCACATTCATTATCTTAAACGGACAGTAATAGTTATAATAGTTACTACTTTTTATTTTATGCTTTCTGTATGTCAGGTGCTTTTTTAAGTGTTGGACATGTGTCATCTCCTTTAATCATTTTCTGTGTGTGTTTGTAAAGTAGTGACTATTATTTATCCCCATTTCCATGTGTGAACCAAGGCACAGAAGTTGTCTAGCTAGAAAGTGGAAGAGCAGAATTCCAACAAGCAGTCTGATGGTCAGAGCAGGTACTGTTAAGCCCTACACAAATAACCACTGAAGTGTTTAGTGGGTTTTTAACCCTTTGTTGTTGTTGTTGTTAAAAACAAACATGCAAAGTATGTGCATGAGGTTCATTTGTTGCTTTCATGTACAGTGTGCACAAGGGGAAGGAGTGTTCACAGGTGACCTTACCACTCTGGATCGGGAGGCCCTCTTACAGCAGCGCTACGCAGACAGTCCTTACTGCGCGCAGCAGCGGGGGAGAAAATCTGACGCCGTAAGTTGGCAGTATATTTACTTATGTGGCAGCCGGTAAGATAATTTGCCCTGCAAGATTTTACAGACTTATAATTGCATAAATAATTTCAGCAATTGAATTTGGACTGAGGTGAACATTCATTAATGTGCAAATTGAGTCCTCATTTTTATAAATGATTGATGTTTGATATATTTACTGTGGAGAAATTGTCTTAAACATTTTAGAGTTTGTAAAAATTTTGTTTATAGTGTTCCAAATTTTAATTGGCTGCTATTTGTAACAGTGGACTTATTTGGCACTGACCCTTCCCCAAAGTAGTCTGGTTATTTTTCCTAAGTCATAAGCTAAGAAAACTAGAGAAATTCAGAGCAGTTAAAGAAAAGGACAGGAATAAAGTAAATGCTGTTTAGGAAGAGGGAAGCAAAACTTTGAAGTTAGACTCTCAATATTAAGTATATTATATCTCTTAGAAAATCAATTATATTGTTGGGTAAATATTGTTTAGTCTGGTCCTGGTACAAATAGATAATTACACTGTATTTTTTACATTAAAATAAAATTTTATTTTTATTCAATAGATGTACTTTAATGTTATGTTTATTTTTGATTAAATTCGTTGAGGTGACATTGGTTAATAAAGTTATAGGTTTCAAATGTGCAGTTCTTTGATGCATCATCTTTATGTACCATTGGGTGTCCACTACCCATTAGACAAAGCTGCGTGAAGTTGGAGCCCACTGGCCACTCCAGACACTCCCAGGTGATTAAAATCTCAGACACACCTGTAATGGATTGATGGAATATCCCCGTGTGTTGGCTCAAAAGTTAGAAAAACTCTTGGTTAGATAGACCAAATAATAATAACACAATATGGATTTAGCCAGTTACATTTTCATTATCATTGAGGGGAAGTTTAATATGTGTTTTATTTTGGTTGTACTCATGCAGAATGATGATCTTCTGAATTGACAGCCTTGTGTAATCAATCTCAACCAGGTGGACTGATTTTTTTTCTGGATGTCCCAAGTTGCTAACTTGTCACAGTTCTTTTACTAAAAACACAGACACATTTTTTTGTATGCCTATTATTATCTAGATAGTTATGCTTAATAGAATAAGGAATATAGCAGGATCATCCTAAAAAATAAAGCAGTTACTTTATAAGGCAAAACAGTGTCTCAAATGAAGCTTTACTGATGGGTCTAAAGTTATACTTGAAATGCATGTCACCAATATGTACTTAAGGTACATTGGGTATTGTTCTTGGTATAATCCAAAGCCATCTGGATATTAGTAGATTTCTTCTCTTTACAATTACTTTGTTAGTGGCAATATATATAAAATCACTATCAAGTGTATGTCACTTAATTGTGGTAGCACTCATTTATCAGTGTTTTTCAAGGAAATGTTTATGTAAGTTAACTTTGAGTACATCAAAAATTAGTATTTATTTATTTTTAAAATGTAGGCGACAACTTTAAAATTTAATTTTAATTAGTTAACTGTAAAACAGAAGCAGTGAGTGTGTGTTTTTTTATGTTCATCTCTTCTACTTTGCTTGGCATTTTTCAGTGGTATCAGATTCTTTGCACCAGTTGATTTCTGCTTCTAATCGGCTTTATGTTTACACAGACCTCTAAATCAAAGTGCCCGAGGGTGGTTCTAACCTTCTCTACAAAATGTAATCCACCATAAATGTCAACAGTTAAGGTGGGCTTTCTGCATGGGCTCTATATTTATTAATCTAACCTTTTTTGCTTGCTTCTGGGTGATCTTCTTTTACATGTAATTTCACGTTTTAGTCAGTGTCCATTTTCTGAATCACCCTTTGATATAAAATGTACCTTCCTTACCTGTAATTATACAGTTCTTCTAACTATAAAAAAATCATTAAAAATCATTATGAAGTGTCATTAGCTTAAGAATAGAAGATGCCATTACATATTAAATTACATGAACTCTATATGGGGCATATTTGGATGTATAAAGTATACATCTTAAATTTCTGCCAAGCAAAAATCTAAATTCAATTATAGACTAACATTTATATAATTGTGCTCAGCTTTTCCTTGTTTCTTAGCAGTTTCTACCTTTTATTTCTACAATATGTCTTTAGTTATTCCTATTTGAATTTTGCATCACTTTTAAATAGTGTACTTTTTCTAAAGCTGGAGAGCCTCCATCTTAAACACTACCTTACTTGATTTCATTTATTGAAATGATGGAGTGGGGATGGGTGACAGTAATTTACATTCTAAAAATAGAACAAGTTTGAATTCACAAGGAAAATGGGGACAGACTCACAGATGGAGAGCAGGGTGACAGCTAGTGATGGGGGAGGTTAGGGGTGGAGGGATTGAGCAAAATGGAAGAAGACTTGTGGACATGGACAGCAGTGTGGTGATTGATGCGGGGAGGAGGTACAAGGGGACTAAATGGTAATGGAAAACATACAATAAAGATGAAATAAAAAATAAAAATAGAACAAGTTTTATTTGACTTCTTAATTTTTTAACCTGTTTTATTTGCCCTTCAAAAGAAACATTTTAGTGATTCTAGTTACAGGATAATCTAATTGGAATTGAGTGATTATGCACCAGTCTGATGTGACCTAAAGTGTAGCAGAGATAATTTTGGAAAAGCAAACAATGTTATGAAGAGAGTTTAGTCAAAACACTAATTGAGAAAAGTTGATCAAGGCTTATTAATGGATTATATGTGTGGAAAATGTTAGTGTCCCTTTAATAATGGGACGCTTTTGTTTGTTTTTAGAGTTTCAGTATAGGGTTGGATGATTTCTGTTCAGTTTCAGCTTCATGCACCATGAATGGTTTAGATTTTAAGACTTTTGTGTTAACTATAGTGTTATTCTGCTTTATGGATAGTGAGATTTTCTTTATTTTTTCTTCTCAGGAGATTGTGGCTGCTGAGAAGAAGAAACAGACCGTTGAGGAGCAAGTGATGAGAGACCACCTGTCCAGGTGAGAGTTAGTCTGGTACCAGAAGTGCATCCAGGAAGTTTTCATTAGATATTTTGTTTATGGCTGACAGCCCATATCCTTGGTCAATCAAGGAGTGGTCAACGCAGACATTCCCACGCTTTCTCTGTTAAATCCACTCATAGTGTCTTAGTAGTTTTTTTTTTTTTCACAGTACTCCTAGGCCAATAAAAATACCCATCAGTTCCATTTATTAAATATTTCTGTCCAAAAAACTTAATGAATATTTACTTCCTAACAATTTAATGGCTATTAGAAAAAATAATACACATAAATTAAAAGAAGATATATATATTTTCATTCTTAAGTAGCCATAACCACCTACTAATGGGATGCATGCACCATTCTGGGCACTGCACAGTATCTCCAGCTATGAGTTGTTAGAACTGTTTATGATGCTGGCACTCTCACTTTCTATTTCACATGCTGCTTGCTTTTTATCACAGGACAGTAGAAAGCCCAGCTTTGCAAAGATGAGACATCACTGAAGGAGTGTGTCTTATTGAAACTGTAAATTACTTTGAGCTAGTAATTCCTGTGGTGTCTAATAAATATCAAATACTGTGTTTCTCTTGAAAATTAAAAATACCTTGCAGTGTCCCTGGGAAGTGTCTGGGGCATCCCAGAGGTGACTTGGCGTACAGTTTGGGAACTGTGGGACTAACTATGTGAATTGTAAAACATAATCTAAGTTTCATAACCCTTAAAAACTAGATAAAGTTTTGGCACCTGCTGAGCTAAATTGCATGACAACATGTAAATACTGTGAGATTTCAGAAGTAAGACTTAAGTTTAGCTTTGAAGAAAATTGTTTCATTAGGTGGCAAAAAGAATGATATTCTACTGCATGTTTTTCTGTAAGTTGAAATAATTATAATCTCCAATGTGTCTCTTTTCATTATCTTGTGAACTCACTTTATTAATATTTCTACCCCCAACCACACCACCACAAGGTGATTATTCATTTAATATCTGACAGATATGTAATTCTGATAGCAGTGTAAATTTGCATTCACATACGGGCTTTTTTAAAACTGCTTACAAATATGTGAATGCTAGCACAATAGATTATCCCATTTAATTGTTGAACTTTGTGTTTTGCGGTATAGGGCTGTAATCAGTGATCCAGAACAAAATTTATCCACTGAGAAACAGGAAAGTGCTTTTATCCTTCCAGATGCAAACATAGCACCTCTTCGACTTAGGAAAAGAACACTACATGAAACAAAGTAAGATTTTATGTATATAAAGTTAGGATGTACTATGTACACGTGTATTATTTAAAATGTTACTTTGTGTCCAACTGAGAAAGTTTTTGCCTTTTCTCTTTAGAGATAAGTGGATTTTTGAAGTTTAGACTCTACTCCTGCCACTTTAAGATATTGGGATAAAGATTTCTAACCTTAATCTTCAGGTTTTTTATTTGTGATTTAGGAATAACAGCCACAACCTTAGGAGATAATGTGTATCTCCTTCTGTTAAAATGTACAATATATTAACTGAGACTTTGGTATGTGCACAATACATAGTGGCCACATCTCATTGATACATAATATATTCAAAGTTGGTGTTGTTTAAAAGTTATTATTATTTTGCATTTAGTTTGTAGTTTATAAAATCTTTAGATCGGTATAAACTTTCACAGTCTGGTGTAGTTCAGTTTAATTTCTCAACAACTTCACTGCCTGTTGACATCTAGCCTCAGCTCTAATAGACAGAAAATCTACCAGTTCCTGCAGTAATTCTTTTATGTTTTCAGACAGCTGTAATTGTGAGGCAGCTACTTTCTTATAACTTTTATCTTTTTGTTTTATTCTTATTTTCTTGAAGCTTTAGTTTTCATAACTTTAAGTATTTGAATGTATCAGGTATTAATTTCTTACTGCTGCTGTAACAAATGACCACAAATAGTCTTCTAAATTAACACAAATTTATTCTCTTACAGTTCTAGAGGTCAGAAGCTTAAAATCAGGATCTTGACAGGGTGTATTCCTTCTAGAAGCTTCAGGGAAGAATCTGTTTTCTTGCCTTTTCAGCTTCCACGTGCTGCCTTCATTCCTCGGCTCTTGGCCCTTTCTCCCACCTTCCAAGCCCGCAATGGCTGGTCAAGTCTTTCTTGTGTCATCTCACTCTGACACTCTTCTGTGTCACATGCGCCTCTGCTTCCCTCTTCTTAAGGCCCATGTGATTGCACTGAGCCTGCTCAGCAAATGCTGGATAATCTTCTTATCTTCAGATCTTCAATCACATCTGCAAAGTCCTTTTACTGCATCATGTAAAGTAACATATTTACATGTTCTGAGGATTAGCACATGGACATCTTTAGGAGGTCATCTCTAAATCTCTTTTTTAAGGTAAACTTTTATTGAAATAAAATATATATTCACAAAATGTACCCATTTTAACCCTGGCTTGTGTGACTCAGTGGATTGAGTGCCAGCAAAGTGAAAGGTTGCTGGTTTGATTTCTAGTCAGGGCACATGCCGGGGTTGCAGGCCAGGTCCCCAGTTGGGGGTGTGATGTATCTCTTACACACTGATGTTTCTCTCCCTCTCTTTCTCCTTCCCTTCCCGTCTCTCTAAAAATATAAATAAATAAAATATTAAAAAAATAAAGTGTACACATTTTAGATGTATAGCATAATGAATATTCACAACCTGAACAAGTTTCTAGATGAAGAAGAAGTGGGCTGGAAGCAGTACCCAGCCCCTCATCCCTGCGCTGTCTCCCAGGCACTACCCACCTCCTCTGCTGCAGCCGGTGGGCCTCTCTCCTGCTGTTGTAGATCGTAACTGCCTGGTTAAACACTTAGATGAAAGCACAAAATTTCGACTCTGCACCTGGCTGCTTTTGTTCAACATTATGTTGGTGTGTATTTTATTCATGTTATTAATCATAGTTGTCATTTACTTTCATTGCTGTACAGAATTTCACTGTACAAATATATCACAATGTACGTACAGGTGTTGATGGACTCTTTATGAATAGTGCTGCCATGAACTCTTGTGCATGCCTTTTGGTGAACGTACCTATGCCTTTCTGCTCAGTGCACACGTAGAAATGGAATTGCTGGACCATTTAACATGCATGTGTTTGGCTTTAAAAAAAATTGCCAAATAGTTTCCCAAAGTGGTTGTTGCAATTAACAGTGTCACCAGCAGAAGGAAGAGGGTGGTGTTTGCACTATATATTTGCCCATGCTTGGTATTGTCTACATTTTTAACTTAGTTCTTATAAGGGTAATTTTAACTCACATTCACTGGTGAATAATGAAGTTTAGCACTTTCACATATGTATACTGGTCATGTAAATATATTCTTACATGAAACTTCCCTTCAAGTCTGTTGGGCTTTTTCATATTGGCTCTGGAACTTGTTTATATATTCTACTTACAAGTCCCTTTCACTTATGTTTTTGGACACATATTTTCCTACTCTGTGTTTACCTTTACATTCTCTTGATCAGGGTTCTTAATTTCAGTGTAGACTAGTTTTCCATTCTTTCTATTTATTGTTAGTGTCCTTTCTATCTTCTTAAAGAAATCTCTGCTTACCACACACTCATTGTTTCTCTCACTTATAATGCCATTTATGTCATATATGAAATTGTTATAAATGCATGGTAGGTTTCTAGGCTTTTTCTTTCATTTCATCTACCTGTATTTTTCTATGTTATATTCAACATTTTTCTATTTTAATTGGTATTGCTTATTATTAAATACCTGCAGCTTGTTTATCTTCAATATTGTCTTGGCATAATAGACTCTTTTCTCTTTAATAGAAATTTTTGATTTAGCTAGTCTAGTTCTATGAAAAACTCTATGGGGTTATTGATTAGAATTTTTGAGTTTATGGATTTCACTCTCCCCTCTTACTCATTATGTCTAGAGGAAGAGGAGAAAATTCTGCTTCAAAGAGTCAGGAGCAGGAAATTGGCAGGTGAAGTGAAACCCTTCCTCTTGTCTTTCCCCAGAGGGGCAGCTGCCCGCAGCAGCCCACACTCTGTCCTACGCAGAAAGCTTTACATGCCCCCCCCCCCCAGAGGGAAGAGTGGGTTAGTCTCTTTAATTCTGATGTCAAAGGTTTAGCCTCCTGTTGCTGCATTCCTAAGGCATAGTTGCCAAAGGTTTCATTAATAATAAAATTCATATTTTGGTCTTGATCCGCTTAATTTTTATTTCTGTATTGGTTAAAAACTTGGGTAGATTATTGGTGCTGCTTATCAGATACCTAAGAGCCTAACATGGAACTTGCCATTATAAGATAAATGCCTATTCTTTTATATTTTCAAGGAGACTCTAGACTTCTTGAAGCTATTACTTCAGCCTATCACTGTTAAACTGAGTTCTGTTCACCTTTGAGAAGCAATATAATGTAGTGGTTATGAGCAAGGTTTTTTCTAGCTTTGCCGTGTACTAACTGTATTATCGCTCTGTAAAATTTGTTTGTGAAATGGGATAATAATACTTCATGGATTTATTGCAAGCATTAAATGAACCAATACACATTAAAGTGATTTTAATAACAACTAATGTCGCCCTGGCTGGTGTAGCTCAGTGGATTGAGCTTGGGCTGAGAACCAAAGCATCGCAGGTTCGATTCCCAGTCAGGGCACATGCCTGGGTTGCAGGCCATGACCCCCAGCAACTGCACATTGATGTCTCTCTCTCTCTTTCTCCCTCTCTTCCCTCTCTAAAAATAAATAAATAAAATCTAAAAAAAATAACTAGTGTCTAGGAAGTTTTCAATAAATGGTAGCTATTATTACTGCTATTATTTTCTCAGCATTTAGAATTGTTTATGGCTCAGAATGGGCATTCAATAAACAAATTAATACTAATGGGTTCAATTGAATTGAGATGTCCAAAGTTTTAGCTTGAGTTTTTTGTTCACAAACTCACTTGGTCCACTGACTCTTGTTGGCTGTAAATTACTTACCTTTCACAGAGACCTAGATTTTATAGAGGCATAACATTTCAAGATCTCCATGCCCCATATGACTGTTTACATTACTTTGATGCTATTATACCTAAGGGAATATTATAAAACTATTTAGATAGGTGAATAAAGATATCACTGGACCTTTAGATTTCTGAGCATAAAGAAGACAGTAGTAGAGTGCCAAAGTGTGTGCATTTGGGTTTTGCTTAATAATATTAAACAGAATTTTAAGAATTACCCATCTTTGTAAGATTATTCAGTGCTGTCTCAAGGCCATACAGATTAAATAACTGGTCTGAGGTCTCATAGCTAGGCCGATTTCAAGGCTAAAAACCTCATCTAACACTCTTCCACTCTTCTGTTACTTTGGTAAGGAATGTTTTGAGCTACCCCTAACTGAAAACCTGACTGATAGTGGCTTAACCAAGTCAGGATTTATTTTTCATATATAACTAGCTGCTTGGGATTGTTGCTGGTTTTAGTTCAGTGGCTCAGAGATGGCACAGCTCTGGGCTGGCTTTCTTGAGGTTTCATTGGCCTTTCTGACATGGTTGCTTGATGGCCACAGCAGCTCCAAGCATCATATCCCTGCCGTGTTCGCAGGCAGGAACTCCTCACGTGCCACTCTCTTACCAGGACAAAACAAAGTCTTTCTTGGGAGTTTATGGGCAGAACTGGGTCCCTTAGTCACCTCAAATTAAAGAGGCTAAGAAAACAAATTCTGTGGTGGAAGGGAAGCAAGGGGAATAGGGCTAGAAATGCCTATCAGGTTACGCTGAAGTAGTTTCAGTCACAAATGTGCTGTCTTTGTTCAGTACTTACTTTTATAGCACTATGTCACTATTCATTCTACATAGAAATTGTTATGCTTAAATACTGTATTTTAGGGTTATTTCATATGTGTTGGTTACAGTGAACAATCTGAAAAAGAGAGGTTTATACGTTCATCCTAATGCAATTTGTGCATTTCAAAATGTTAACTTTTTTGTACTTTTATTGTTTATATCAAATGTATATAACTTTAAAATAATTGTTGACTAATGTATTTCTCTTTTTTTATTGTTTATTCTATTAGAGTTGTCCTAATTTTCCTCCCTTTGCCCCCTTCCATCCCCCTGCCTTCCACTCCCACAGTCAGTCCCCACGCCATTGTCCATGTCCAGGGGCCACCCATACATGTTCTTTGACTAGTCCCTTCCTTAACAGGGTAAGGACGCATTCTACATTAACTGAAAATATGCTTTCTCATAAAGTTCAATTTGATGGTAGGATCATATCAAGGTAATTATGACTTTATTAAATGTTTAAATCTTGGGATTATAAAATGTATTTTGATTTCAAATAGAAGTAACAATAATGAGATTAGTTAAATTTATCACAAACAAGTGAAAATGTGAATTTAGAACATTTTTGAGTAACGCATATAAGTTAATGCGACAAAAGTTATTGGAAGTATGAACCTAAAGAAAAGCATTTTAACTAGAAGTCATTTAAAATGTGATTTAAAATGTCTTTCAAAAAGAAATGTAGAAGTGAACTTTACAAAGGTATATATTACTACTAGAAGATTATAAACCATTAAAAAGTTAACCTTTATGTAAGCTGCTTTATGTAATTTCATGCAATGGCTTTAGTTAACAGATTATTGATAGATTCAAGAAGATGACTAAGTGGGTGATTCTTAAATCTCTTTCTCAGTCTTACAAATTTCCAGGAAAACATAATGCTACTTGATATTCTTTGTGTATACTAATGGTAAAGTTTTATTTTTAATTATCATGTTTGTTTAATGATTTTAAACTTTCTAGGACAAAGGGTAATAAGTATATATCATTGAGTAGCTTCTTGCAAGCTCAACATTTTTAAAAGATCTTTCACTTTATCTTAAAAGTTTCTATCTATCAAATTAGTAATCTGTATTCCATATTCATACCAGTGTAATTAAAGCTTGTCTCCAAACGCACCTTAAATCGATACGTAAGCAAGCTGTGGCATGTTTTCCCTGTTGCTTCCTGTATCCCTTGCTATTGCCACACATTTGAGGGAGTTATTTTTTTTCCTCTGACAAAAATCTTTGATATTATTCTCTTTTTGTAGAAATGGACGTGATGCTTGCAGAGAGCTGGTTGGGTTTTTTTTTATTCATGACCAGTCCCTTACAATTTATGAATATCGGCAATTTGGGAAAAATAGGTATGCCATAAAGCACTGTTACAACTCTCAAGATGATTACTTCTGAGAGAAGCTGAGTGACCTCACATTTTTGTCATTTAACTTCTAGAACAAATGTGCTTCCTTTTATTCAAAAAAACATTTATAGTCATCAGCGTGGATGAAGAAAAGGAAAACAATACCAACTTGGTGATTTTTATACTGTAAGTTAAGGGTGTGCGTACAGAAGTTTTAATTCCAGATATTGGGTTTTGTGGGATCCTGTGGGGCTGGCAGAGCAGGGCTTCTCATCTTTGGCTGATTTTCTGTCCTTCCTGAGCAGGGGCATTTACTTGTGTGAGTGGCTCATGGTTAATGTGTCCCAGGAGGTTCTGCCTCTCTGGCTCAGCTTTTATGCCCTTTAACACTACCTTCTGCTCCTCCTGCCCCCTAAATCCATAGTATAAGCCCAGGAGAATTTGTCTCTTGGTATTTTTCAAGGCTTTACATGGCTGTACCATTAAGTAAGTGGACACTTCAATAGAACTAGGAGTGATGCTCCCCCTAGAACAGGCTTATCTTCTGAGGATGCACATTTTTTTCCCTCATGCAGAGGGGTAGTTGGCTTCTGGAGCAGTCATATATCTGTTAACTTATCCTTGTGATTTTCCCATCTCATATAACTTCTGGCACAGGGTGAATTACACAGATCTTTTTAGAATGTGTCAATCATACATAATGTCACAAATTGTGTAGTGTTCTTACATTTTAAGTCATTACAGTCACACATTATCTTGTGATTAAAATGCAGTGCTATTCACAGGGATCGTAACGAATATATATGCATAGGCTAAGCATCAGAAATAGAACAGTGAGTAAGACTCTTCCTGCTTTTGTGGAGTTTAGTCTAATGGGAAACATTCAGATAGGAGAGGTAACCATTTAGTTTTATGGGGTCATGGGGCTTTCTGAAGAAAATGCCATGTAAACTTCACCTACAGAAGGAGTTAGCTAGGTGGTGTAGGGGGATAGGCGAGGGTAAGGAAAATCTTTATGGAGTATAGAGTTCAAGGTTGGTGTTGTCAGGAATGAGTGGGAACTGAAGCGCACGCAGCCCCTGTTAAAGAGTTATCTGAAAGGTGTTGGAGAGTCATTGAAAGATAAGATGTGGATGGAAGGGGGAGAGGTGACATTAAGTTTGTGATTTAGAAAGATCGCCTGGTTACAATGTGGGGAACAGATTAAAGACTAGGTGTAAAGAACCAGATTGGGTTGAACATGTAAATTTAGGAAGGATGTTATGGCAACCTGAATTAGACAGATGGCTGTTGCTGTGAGCTAATTAGAAAAATAAAACAAACAAACAAAAATCTTTAGGATGTAGAATCATTAAGACGTAGTAACTGTTAGGTAAGAGATTGGAGGTGAGGAAAACTTCACATCTTAAACTTGAGTTAAATAAAAATATATATATACGTCACTCAAGTCTGCGTCTTGGCATCTGGAGGAAACCAGCTTCGACTCCAATTTCACAGCTCACAGAAAGGATGCTTATGCCTGTTCCACAGTTGCAGTTACCTCCAGCTCCGAGTGCTGTCTCCACTAATTTAGTGTCGTTGATGCCTTATTCCCACTATTTCTGTTCCTTGTCACTTGAGGAGATGTAGAACTCTGCTCCGTTTAGTGACTTCCATGAAAGAAAGGAAGGAAGAAAAGAAGGAAGAGGTAGGTGGGTGGAATTGGCACGCAAACTGTGCAGATGATGCCTTGTGTATGTGACAGACATTTTGAAAGGAACATGGAGAGAGATTAACACTACAGCGTGTCAGCAACTTACAATTTATGATAAGACACTCTCATTCTTAGAAATATGTCCCTTGAGTATTTCCCATGGTAAAAGCCCTTCTCTTCATTTTTTTTGACTCCTTGCATCTTTTCCTCCTCCCTAAAAAATTCCATTTCTTTTTTAAAAATTTATTATTATTATTATTATTCCGTCCCTGAAGCTCTATTTACAGAGAGAGAGAGGAATGGCAGAAATATTCTACCTTTCTCTCTCTCTCTCTTTTCAAAGATTTTATTTATTTTAAGGCAGAGGAGAAGGGAAGGAGAAAGAGAAGGAGAGAAACATCAATGTGTGGTTGCACTCATGTTCCCCCTATTGGGGACCTGGCCTGCAACCCAGGAAGGTGCCCTGACTGGGAATTGAACCAGTGACCCTTTGGTTTGCAGGCCGACACTCAATCCACTGAGCCACACGAGCCAGGGCATATTCTCCTTTTTCCTTCATTTTTGTGGGGGGAGGGGATTTTCTTTTGCTTTCCAGATGTTACTCTGTAATGTATCTTTTCTATATGCCCCACCAAGGTCTTTTCCTAAACAATTCCTCAAAGAATTTATCTTTTCTTCCTCAGATTCTTATAAAAATGGAGTTCTGACATTATTTTTTACAAGGATTGTTAAATAGAAGATTATTCTAATTTAGAGATTGATTGAGAGGTTATTCCTTTATTATTAACTGAAGCCTGTGTGGTTTCTAAATGGTCTTTAAAATGCTTTTTATTTTTTATTTATGTTTTACTATCAAATTCCTCTGTTTTTATTTTTATTTATTTTTATGTTGATATGATCAAATATCTTATTTTTTAATTGTTCTTATGATTTTATTTTAAAAATTTTTAAATTTTATTGTTCAGTTACAGTTATTCTACCTTTCCCCATTGCCAAAAATCATTATAAAAGAACACCATGTCACATAATCAAAATAGAATATTTAAAATTAGTATTAGTTGTGTTTTACTCCTTATAAGATTTTCTAAGCTTTAGGTAATTCATTTGTTATTTCTTTTAGGGTGCAAACTTGACATTTTTAAGCTCTGATCATCACACACTTCCAGAAAGCATAAAAGAAAGCACATTACTTATACTTCGAATCACAAATATTGATCAGATAGCTTTCGATTCATTCAGGTAAGTCAAACGTACATATGTCACTTTGAAAGTAAGTGAAAACACTATTATTTGTTACTTTAAAATGAGATTCAATCTGAAAGTATTTTGACTTTAGTTAGATTTATATTTTTTAAAACAAAGCATAGCTATGTTTATCTATTTTATGTGTTATCTTATACTCCATGTGCTGGAATAGTTACAATCAAGTAAAGAACAAAAATGTCCCATTTTATGTTAAAGGTACTTTATTAATTTGCCTTTGCTATAACACTTTTATGAGATGCTAACAAAGCAATAAAATTTGAAGGATGGGATACAGTACAATATTTTTCCCCACATTTTAGTGTGATATTTTTTAGCACTAAAAAATGTCTCAGCTTCTACATGTTATAGTATTTATTGGTAATGTGAATAATGAAAGAATAATGCTATGAATGAAAAATGCATTTAAATGAATTTGAGCTGTTTCAATTATATTTTATATATGCTCTTATGTGCTGTTATTCTTGCTGAGTGATTCTTAGTGGTAAATACATGCTATTCTTACAAGTATTTCTTGGTAATAAATATAATTCAGAATGCTAATAATTGCTGTACTGTATGTGCACCAGAGGCCATATCCCACAAATTGGCTATAAGGTAGTTTTTATTTACTATGTCATTTTACTGTGTAGTTCAAAATGAATGCACTTTTTGGCTTTCTAATACAATATTTTTACATTTTATGCTTTATAAGGCAAAACTGCTTTTAAATTTAATAGTTTTAATTATTTTAAAAGGATACCAAAATAGCTAAAAAAATGAATATAATCTTAAAGATACCTGTTGGAAGGTTTTAAGAATTTTAGCCTTTAGTATATTTAATCCTCCTGGGAATTAAATCAGTAGGTAGAAGGTGGGATTTGATTAATCTTGGTACTCTTCCAACTTTGATGAGACTTTCATTTAATCTAGAATGGGGAAGAGCTTAGAGTCTCCATACTCAAGGTTGCACAACAGAATGTATTTTTTTCACTGTGAACATGTCAATTGCAGGACTGATTCTGTGGAACATGAGGATGATACAACCAGTCAAGAAGCCAGTGATAGGCTGGTCTTTAAAGCCATTCAAGGTATGTATGTATCATTTTATTGCACTCTTGAGTATTTCAAATGTTTAACAATTTTGTTTGTACATAGTAAAACAATATTTTTCAGATATTTCTTAGTTTTGTGGCACTTAATTTATATTTCCATTTTGCCTATCTTTTTGAAAGTTAATTATATATATATATGTCTAAAAATACTTTTAAGGTTTCTCCTACTTTAATGATTCTAATTGAATAACTGGTATTCTTTGAATTATGAATATAACAATTCTAGAAAGAACTTAATGATACGGATTTTATTCATGAACTGAATCAAATGTAGCTAATTTTGTAATATAATACTTGTCTCATGCATTAGATGACATCCTAAAGAGATAGGTGGTCACCTAGTGTAAAAGACCTGAGAGTAGAAGTCACAGTTGTTTGGACTCTGTCATTCATTAGACATACGACTGTGCAAATCTCTTGTACCTCTTCTTCATCTCTAAAATGGGGAAAATAATCTGTTTTATTAACTTTTGATAGTTGTAATATATGCAGGCTTTGGACACTCAAACATGTTGCATATTTTGTTTCTAGAGTCTAATTTTTTAACTACTACAGTATGATAAGTTCAGATAATTCTTGTACTCAATTTCATAGTCTATAAGTAACCACAGGAAATCAACATGTAATTTATGGATTTTAATAAATTCTGGTTTATCATTCAAAGGCAATCAGGGAGTAAGAAGACTAGAAATTTTCAAAGTTGTCTGGAATTGGTATTTGAAGTCTCAAATTTTCTTGATGTCATTGTTAGTAAATTGTTTATTCTATCATGGTCAATGCAGTATTTGTCACTGTTTTATCTGATGACATGTACTTCCTCTAATGTATTGCATTTAGTAACTACTTTAGTAAAGTTCCCTATATGTTCTTAAAATGGCACAAACTTCATTAAGTGAAACCAGTTAATGACCCACAAAGAGAATGCTGGGGCCTGAGAATATAATCTCTTATGAATTCCTGGAAGAAAGGGTTACTTTAAAAGGGTCGGCATGGGATAACACTCCAAAGCCTTGATGCCATTTCACATATACGTTATAACTTGAAAATTGCAAATTATTTTGAACTGATAATTCTTGAGTGACTTGACTGGTGTCAATTTTGTAATTCAGTTGGTAGCATAAAGACAGAAGAAAGAGATGAAAAATGTAGTGTTATTAGATGAGGAGAATGCCTAGAAAATAAAATTTTATTTGTAACATTTAGGTTATTTTGATACTGCTCAAGTGACATTATTTTCCTACATTTAAAATACAATACTTTCACCACACAGTGGTGCTATAGTTCTGGTATATTTACACATAATTTTATATCTAACCTTTATTACAAGGAAATCTATTTTCCAAAAGTATTTTTTTATCAGTCATACATATGATTTGGTTGGCACTTCTTATAACAGTGACATCCCTTTAATTTTCTTACATGAGAGACAATTGCAATTTGATACACTTGTGAATAGGAAGTATTAGTTCCCATCTCTCCTCTTCCTAAACAGATGAGCTAAAAAAACAGCTACATAAGAAAGGTGTTCGTATTTTGACTGGTTTGGGAAAATACTTTCAACAATTGGACAAAGAAGGAAATGGACTTTTAGATAAATCAGATTTTAAGCAAGCTCTAAAAGTATTTCACTTACAAGTGTCTGAAAAGGTATGTATCACAGATACTTCACTGCAGTAAATGATTTATTATTCTTAGGCAATATTCACTTCTTCACTGAAATTTTAGTAGTTCATTTGTCTCCTTTTTCTTTAGGCCCTGATGTTACTGTTCAGCCATCAGGTAACAAACCCTGTTGGTTTTTAAAATTTCAACATTCATTCTTCTATTATATTCATATATACATATATAAAGAGCATGTTAACTAGCCATTGTCCTAAGCTCTGAGAAGATACACTGTAAGGTCTTCCTAACAAAAGGATTGAAAAATATAAATGATTACAAAACAATATGATATGTGTTAAATAGAGAATGCTTTCAGAACACCCGACATAAATTCCAAACCATGTTATAGGGAAGGAGAGGGAAAATCATAGAAAGATTCCTGGCGGGGGATATATCTGAGCTGAATTTTAAAGATGAGGAATTAAGCAGACAACAGGGGAGGAGTGTGGATCAGACACTGGAGAGTTCACAAAAAGAGGAGCACACTGTGAAAGCATGGAGGACAGAGGGAGTGTGGCCTGCCCAGGAACTGCCAGTGTCCCCTCACTCCCTGCCCCCAGAGCCTTCACACATACTGTTCCCTCTGCTGTGAGTAGTCTTCCTCTAGACCTTTGCATGGTTAGATTTTCTCATCATTCAGACCATAGCTTTCCCTACTCAGAGTACGCCCTGACACTTCTGTCTATAGGCGAACCCCCTCTGATGTCTGGTCCTCTGCACCAGGCTGTATTCTCTGCATCACCACAGAACTTCCCTTTTTGATTGGTTTGCTATATTTTTATGATTAGGTTCAGGATTAAAAACTAAAAAAAATTATATAAGGTACCTGTTATAGGGAGAACATATATAATGAAAATATGAGTAAGCTTCCTCCCTTTTTCATATGTTTTAAATAATAGTCCCTGTTTTCCCTCCCTGATATCACTGGAGACTGACCATACCCCATTTTATTTTCTTTGGGCCACTTCGTCTGCAAGTAGAATGTTAACCCCATCAGGTCAGGGACCAGGGTGCTTCTAGTTTCCTGCTCTGTTTCTAACACCTCTCAATAGAATCTGGCATACAGCAAGCACTGAATAAATAAATATACAATGCATTACTTTAAATGGATAGATGGGTGGGAGGAGAAGAGAAGAATGAAGAGAAATAGGCTTAGGAGGGTCTATTACATTAAAGCCTTTCATGCCTTGCTAAGAAGTTTGGATTTTATTATAAAAGTATGAATTTGGAACAAATCTACCTTAAGAGTTTTAGTTAAAAAATCTTCTTCATTGTTCATTTTTGCTTCAACAGTCTTGTCACAAGATATAATGTATTTTGTGGAGGGAACACTGGAAGTTGAATTTATGAGACAGAGGTTCAAGTCTTAGGCTAACTACTTGAACTGTGTGATCTTGAGTAGGTCTTGTCACTTTTTGAATTGATAGGCTCTGCCTGGGCAATCCAGAGGTAATGCTTAGAGTCAGAGTATTTGAGCTGTGAAGCTCGAGTGAGAAAATTACACGGGAATATAGTTCATTGACTATAAAACCTGTACCAGTGTGATTTTGTATATTACTGTTGTGACAAACCTAACTTTTGTGGTTTTGCAATGTTTAATCTCACCGCCCACCTTGTGACACACACTGTGAGTTATCAAACGGCCTCTTCCTTTCATACAACAAAACAAAAACAAAAACCAAAAAAAGACAGCAATAGAGAATTAGAAAGCCTTGGTGTCTTTATCAGCAGTTATACAGGTAATTAATAACTGAGGTAAAATTAAGAACCCAGATAATCTGGACCAGGCTGTATTCTCTGCATCACCACAGAACTTCCCTTTTTGATTGGTTTGCTATATTTTTATGATTAGGTTCAGGATTAAAAACTAAAAAAAATTGTATAAGGTACCTGTTATAGGGAGAACATATATAATGAAAATATGAGTAAGCTTCCCCCCTTTTTCATATGTTTTAAATAATAGTCCCTGTTTTCCCTCCCTGATATCACTGGAGACTGACCATACAATGATAAACAAATGTAAGTGACTGTAAAATAAGAAGATAAGAATCACCAGCCTAATTGTAGAACTAGTTTGTCATAAGGCATAGTTGCTCTCTCTGATGGAAAATTTAAAAAGAAAATTGGTATACAACTTAATAGCTTAATTTCTATAGAAATAGTATGATTGAATTAGCCTCAGTTATTTTCAACTGAATTATCATTTTTCATTTTGTACCATATCTGAAAAAGAGTTACATAAATTTGTTGCCACTTTGGATAAATTATTCAGTTCTTGAAAATTATTTATTTTAAGCCTCTAGTGTTATCTTTTTATTTCTAGTATTCTATGAGTTGGGTGAGCAAATAGAACAGTTGGGTGGGAATAGAGCATTCTATTAAATAGTGCATTTGCAAATACAGTAAGTGGCAATGGTAAAATGAACAAATTTGCATAAGGGATTTACTCAAAGTAAAATCTTTTGGTGTAAATTATGGAATAATATTAGAGTCATTCAAATATGCTTTATACTTTCAAGCATGAAGATCAACAGAAATAGTGGTCCTAATGCTGTTGGAGGCATCCCAGAGCCTGAAGTGACCTTCTAATTGTCACAGATATAATATGTAAAAAGAACTAAATGTTCAAATGCAGCTAAATGGCATTTTTTAATTTTTGTATAGAAAGGAATTGAATTTAAAGTTAATTTGTGTCTTAATGCCTCTCTGAAATGGTTATTAAGTCTACAGAACTGCCCACCACAGAGTTTCTTTAAAGAGCTCTCTGAGTGGCTTTGGTTGGATTTATACAGAATTTTTTACTTTGTCTAGGACTACAAAAGATGTAACGAAATACTATTAATGTGTAGTCATGTACAACTTAAGGGGGTGTAAGAATGGTTGGTCTGTGTATTATTTCTAGGATTTTGAGTCTTTATGGCTGATTCTGAATGACAGTGGCAATGGCAAGGTTGATTATGGAGAATTCAAACGTGCCATTATTGGTGAAATGAACGAATACAGGAAATCATTTGTTCGAAAGGTAAGTTTGTTAAGTAATCTTTCAAATGCATGTAGTTTCTTTTAATAGATTGTTAGGTTCCTTATTTTAAAACTTTAATGAATTACCATTGAAAATGTTTAAATCCCTTACCTATAATGTGTTTTGGTTTTAGTAAAGCACAAAGAAAAAACCATGTACAAATACAACTCTCCCAAGATAAAGCTAAATAATTTGTGCATTTGTTTTAGGAAATATTATAAAGGGAAAATAAAATCTGAATCAAATTTTGGCTCATAAATTACTAGTTCCATAAATTGCTGGCTCCATAAATTACTAGTTCTGTGACTATATGTGTTTTTAAATATCCCCAACCTCAGTTCCTTGTCTTACAGAGTTGTTATAAGGTCTGAATGAGCTAATATATACAGCTTTATGTTGTGGCTTTGCTGTGGTCAAGGTGCTCAGTATGTGCTATCTTAGGATGACTAAGATGGTTTTCTGGTTTTTATAATATGCATGTTAAATGTTAAAATGTGGATTAAAACAATTATGTTAAATTGGAATTAAAAAACAGGAGTCCTGGTTTTTATAGGAAGCTACAAGTTAATCCAGTTCTGGTAGCCAGTTTTAGAACATACTTTTGAGCAATGTAGTTTTCTTTTCCTTTTGTTCATGTGCCTAATATAAAATGTATATGTATCTAATACTGAACAAAGCTATTGCACATAGAGGCGTATAGAAAATTACATCATGTATCAATCACGAATAGAAAAATATCAAAATCTTAACTGGCCAACAGACACACAAAAATACCTTAAGCCAAACAAATTCACCTCATAGTGTTTATAAATTTGCATTTATTGGTACTTTACATATCCTGGTGACAGGTTTGGGTATCGGAAGTAGAAACCTGAGAGTTGTCTCCTTTGTTTATCTTGGTGTTTGGAGTAGAGGACAAAAGTAGTGTTATAAAGTACGGTATTAGTTTGCGAGGGCTGTCATAACAAGTGCCACAGTTTGGGTGGCTTAAACAACGGAAATCTATGTCCCCAAATTCTGGAGGCTTGAAGCATAAGACCAAGGTTTCAGCAAGTTTGGTTTCCCCTGAGGCTTCTCTCCTTGGGTTGTAACTATCTTCTTCCTGAATGCCCACATAGCCATCCCTCAGTCTGTGTTGTCTTCACCCTAATCTCTTTTTATACAGACACCAGTCACATTGGATTAGGTCCACCCCAATGATTCCATTTTTAACTTAATAAGTTCTTAGATTTTAGTGATGGAATATTTGGAAATTCACTTATATGTCAAAATAGTTCTGGCAGTTTGTTTTAGCCATTGATCAGTTTCATGTGAATCTTAAACTGGAACTTACCAGACAGATTTTTAACCTAACTCCAGTGTGCAGAGGAGGAGAGCCAAGGCAACAGAGGTTAGATTACCTTATCAAAGTCAAAGTGCTAAAAAGTGATAAAACTGGAAAGAAGATACCTACCCAGAAGGACTCCTGGTGACAGTTCTCAAATGCATAAACAGAGCCTAGCAGCCATTCCTAAACAGGAGCATCTCACACACACCATGCTTCAGGGGGAAGCCTGCAGGGAACTGCCTGGCTGCAGTGTGTTTCTCTTATAGGAGCCAGCCCTTATACAGGAGTTCCTGGGATTGTATTTCAACCAATTGGACTGAGGCTTTCCTTGCCAATTGGAGCTGTGCAGCTATACTCTCATTAGCATCCTACCAACCAATCAGAGAAGCCCCATTCTGACCAATCAGGACAGTGCCTTTTAAACCAAACTGCTAGGATTTGGAGTCCTCATTTGCATGAGGATGGACCAATTAGGGTCCATGGATGGGGTCTTCTCTCTCTATAAGTCAGCTTTCCTTTGACTCGGGGCATTTTATTTTTCTGTTGAAGACTGAAACTGCTTTCCCCAGTTGTAGTTGAAACATTGAAAACATCTCCTCAGACTAGAGCAAAGCAGACCAGAGCAGAGTGGAGCACTGGATGGGAGCAGAGCTTTGTGAGAGGGGCCTCACTCAAGGTCCACCCCTCCTGAGGACCACCTTGCAGCAATGCTTTTGCCCAGCCTGCTGTTTCATATAGAGCTGTAACGCTATGGAGTTGTTCCACAGCCATGCTACAATTTACAATTGAGTTGTTTGCACTGGATACATTTTCCTTCTTCATTGTGTAGTGCAGATTGGGGATTCCAGTTGGTGTTGAACCGGTGCCAACAACCATCTTGCTCCATTACCTTTCTTCCTTGTATTCATGATTCTGCCATCTTATACCAGTTTAGTATTCTTAAACTGTCTTGTTTAGAACCTATAAATAACTACTGCAGAATAAAAAGTTAGGCTCACATGTCCAATGGTTTCATAGAAAAAATAATATTTCTGTCATTATTTAGGCCTTTATGAAACTGGATTTCAACAAAACTGGAAGTGTGCCTATTATGGACATAAGAAAATGTTACTGTGCAAAGAAGCATCCTGAAGTGATTTCAGGTAATTATTATGAGTCAAAATGCATTATATTTCTAAAATGTTAGTTAAAAAAGCAGTATCTTCAAATAATATTAATTCATAATGTGGACCTGAGGCCATTAAGGGAGGAATAAACAATTATTTTTAAAACTGAAAAAGTGAGAGTTATTTAACATTCATTAAAAAATTCTTGGGTCTATCATCTGTACTTATTTTTTTCTTTGATGTTTATAATCAATAGTGAACTTTTATTTCCTATTGAGATAGTGAGAAATTTGAGTTGAAAAGGACAGAATGGATATAGAGAACAGATAAATACATGTGCAAATTCTCTGAGTAAGTTTTACTGAATGTGTTTATACTTGAAGATTTAAGGCAGAATGAGGGGATGTCTTTCTCTAGGGATAGATCTATACATGTAATGAATATACATATGTCTATAAAAATGTGAGGATATAGAACATATCTCAAAGTGATTCTAGAGATTTATTATCTATTATATTTCTTTTGACCTTAATTTTTACATAATTGACTTATAAGTGAATTTTCATGATATAGAAAGCATCTGGCCATAGTAACTTCCCTCTTTACATTACATTTCCCTCTATAAAGGTAGCAATTACTATTTTTTCATATATACATATGTTTCAGTCTTTATGGATTTTCATAGCTTTATATGTGCTATAAATATCTAATACTTTTTGAAGTTTTTTCATGAACATAGTGTTCATGAAACACAGTGTTATGTAGTTTGCTTTTTATACTCAACAATATGTTTTAGAGCTCTTTATGTTAATCCACATTGAGCTATCTTCTTTTTCTCTTCTGCATATTATTCTATTAAAAATCAATGTACTACAGTTTACCTGGGCTTATATTATGCTATTTTCTTGGGGTACTATCATGACTTAGAATATGTATGTTTCAAGTTTTAACTGATACTTCCAAATTGCTTTGTAAGATGGCTGTACCAGATTGTACTGCCATTAGTTGAAGAATTCATTTTACCTCATATTTTTGACAATCTAATAGACTAAATTTTTTACAATTTTTATTTCTGTGGTTACTAGGGAAGTTAAACATATTTTTTGTATATTTGTTGACCATTTATAATTTACATTTAATGAATAATTTCTAATTCATATTTTAGATTATATAATTAAATACTACAGAATACTATTCTAGAATTTCCTTTTGAATATTAAAAATATACTATAATTATTTAGGTTTATTACTGTTATTAGCCCTTATAGTTTATTTATTATGTTTAATTGTGAAGTTAAAAGAAACAGAATTTGTTACAAAGATTAAAGTTAATAATCACCACTAACTTCCCAATTTTTAAAAATATATTTTAGGTCAAAATAGCTTCATTTGCTTATCAAGGACTTTAAATGAACTACAGTTGCCAAAAGAGAATTTACAGAATTACTTAGTTATACATATTATATCTTTCCCTTAAAACCCATGTCATTCTCTGCTTTTCTCCTTTAACTAATCATATTAAAGATAAAAACAAGATAGTTTACGTATTTCAAAATTAGGTGATTTAACACCATCTGTTTTTTTCTCTTTGTCTTTTCTAATAATCTTAAGTTGTCGTTGAATTGTTGGTAAAGGTTTTTGTTTTGTAGTGGGATAAAGTTTTGTTAGTTTAAGAAATTACATCCATTGTCTTTATATTCAGATTAAAGAAGATAAGCTAACAAACTATACAGTTTAAAAAAGAGGAAAACCTGTTACCATGTAAAAATTTTTTTTATAATATATCGTTACAAATTATAATTTATTCACATGCCCATTTTTGGGATCTAGAGTGTTTACAATTTTAATTAATTTCAAATTGAGTCTTTTATGCCAGACATAATTTAATTTAACTACAAAAAAATATTTTACTTTGTTTAAATAATTTATTTTAAAAAGTATGTTTAGCTTTAGTAGAAATGGAATTTATCAAGTGTCTTTCTGTGTAATTGTAGTAGAAATCTAATGTTGTTTATTAAAATATTAAGAGAAGCAAAAGAAGGGTTAGTTACAAATGACAGAGGATAGGTATTTCCTGGGTGAGAATGCAAAGGAAGTACAAATTTCTTGAGTATTTGAAATAAATTTAAATAAAAAATCTTTTTCTTAGAAAAATAGTATGAAAATTGCTCTGTTCAAACATATGGATTGTAAACAGAGAGGGAAATCTCCCTATATATTTTTATATAGATTAGATCTTGATTAATTTTTATCCATGATTAACATTCAATCATAAATTCACTTTATTGTTTTATATTACTATCTTTGTGTAGCATAAGTATTCAGTCCTTATTTGACCTGTTTTTTTAAAATAGTCAATGTTCTTGATTTCTTTCATGTTTCTAAGAGACAGCAAGCATTTTGCTATTCAAAACAGATTTTATTCTTTTAGTTCAAAAGGTACTTTACAATAAGTTGTTACCTGAGTCCAACAGAGAACCTCTTATGTTTGAGAAAGAGCCAGCTCTTACCATAATTTTGCCTCTTCTGTTAGATGGACAGTTAAGGTGGTATTTCAATTTAAGTTTGTTACTTTAAAATGCAATATGACTTTAAAATGATTTATACCAACTATCCTTATAAAAATAAATTAAAAATATTAAATCATTTATGGAGTCCAAATATTTTTTTAGACACTTTTTCTGCTCTTGCATATGGGCCTCTATTTTCTTTATTATCTGACTATAGCTTCCTTTCATCTCTTAAGTCTTCTTTTCCTATCAAAAAATTAATGAATGTCTCTTTTCCTGTTCTATTCTAAGATCCTGAGAGTAGATCAGTGCAAGCAAGGGTAGGTAGTAAGGGGGGTGGCAAATTAGTGAGAAGAGTTCTATGATGGAGAACCTACATTTGGGGTGGTCAGTGAAAACTTCCCAAGAGAATGGTGTTTAAGCTGAGATTGAATTTCTGCCCCAACTGACCTTAATATGGTCAAAGTTACTTATTTAAATAGTTTATTCTCTTTCTGAATTAAAAAATCAAGTGAATTTTTAAAAAGACTCAGATATTTTATGTTTTCTCTTTAACAAACTAAAGAATTACAATTATTTACATATATGATTCTCAGAATCTTCTAATAGGATAAAGTCAATCATATTTAATATAAGCCAATAAAAATAGCCTACTTAATGTAAGAGATGGAAATAGAATATTTATCAGGTGTAAGTTCTTCCAGCAAACATTTTATAGGCCCTTGAATCTTGTATTTGCAGTTATATTTTCTAGCTGCAATTGTGAGTAACTGATTCACAACATAACTAATGCCTGAATGTAGAGATATCTTCCATACATCACATCACTGTGTTAATCTTTGTAAGCATTTGTTTTCTTCTTTCTAATGGGAATGAAGGTGAGTCCTTTAAAACGTTAAGAAATATCAGGATATCTGTGGTAGTTAACTATTATTTTGCCTCTACAGAGAGGATGCACCCTATCAGAAGTTTAAAAGATGCCTCCAATGTTTGTTAAAGTCATTATCATTAAATTCTGGTTTATGCAAGAAAATGTTTAGATAAATTGTAGGGTAGTTTGATGTAAGATTTCGAATTGTTGAAAAGATTTTACAGGGTGATTAAGTATTTCTTTACCACCATCAGTCATTTTCCTGAAATTTTAAGGAGATTGTTACATGGTCAGTACTATTTTGCAGGTCATTCCACAGAGGAAGAAATCAAATTATCTTTTCTAGAAACACTAAAAGGCACCTGCAGCAAGTCTGATGAAGTGTCATATGGGGAATTTGAAGATTACTACGAAGGTCTGAGTATAGGAGTGGTAGAGGATGAGGACTTTGTTTCTATCTTACGTGCTCCATGGGGGATTTAGTTTTTTAAAATTAGCCCTAAGCATTTTAAAGGAGAGATGAATTTAATGCAAAGTATGAGCAACCATTAGAATATATTTGTCTAGAGCTCTACTCTGTTTTTTTCCCCCCTCAAAAAAGTTGAGTCTGGAAAGAGAAATATTCGGAAAGGAGTATATAGGGGTATGTATATATTTATGTGCAAGTATGAGTACTTGCCTGTCTATAAGTTTGAACTTATCTTTATTTTTTATTTATTACTTACTTTGAATATATTTCAGAGCTATTTTTATTAACCTTCATAGGAAAGTAACATTTGTATCAGATTATATGAAATCATTTATTGTAGTAACCAAGTTTCCTTCCATTTTTTTCTATTCATTTCCCAAAATAAAATTGCTACCATTCTCAATTTGATAAATTGGAATTGGGCTCAAGGCTTTTAAGATTGAATTAGTTCAACTTGTTGAAAACATATGAAAATGTTAATGGAACTAAAGGACATGCAAGAGAAAATTTCAGTGCAAGGTGATTACGGATGTTTTCTGTCACATAAATATTTTGAATGATGGAGGCCTACCCCTAAAATGCATATTTAAACACAGACTTGTGAATCCTTGCCTTCTAAATTATGTGCTGTTGTTTGTTCAATAGAACACAATGTAATTATTCTAGGGATCAGTTCTATTTGTCTTTCTATTTTGTTTTTTAACTGTGATCCTTATAACCTGCACAGAATTATTTAGTGAGAAAAAATACAAAATAAGAGATGGGATGGTTTCTTAGATTATTAAATAAGCATCTCAAAAAGTACATTATCACATATTTGGACTGAGGGATAATTTAGTAATTCTCAGTGAAAATATAAAAAGATATTTTGTGCCTTAAGATGAATGTAAGTTATTCTAAACACCCTTTTTTTTGGCATATAAACAACTGAAACATTTTTTTCTGAATAGATGTTATTTAATAGTTAGACATATTATAATCAATTTTCTAAATTCAAAGTAGTACCTTCAATATTTGAGGAGGTACCAAAACTCACTACTGAAATATCAGAAAGAAAGTATGTATAATTATTTTAGTGCTGTTTTCACTAGATAAATTCTTTATTCTTTGGATTTTTTTTTCAATTAGGTTATTGTGATTAAGACAATGTGCTGGAAGACATTTTGGCAGATATGTCTTTACCGCTTTCTCTGCGTCATTCTTTTACTTGGAAACACATGAGTGTAGTCATCCTAAGCCTATGGATGGCTTTCCTATTGAAATGACTAGTAAGCTGTGGGTGCTCACTATGCTTGTAGTATTTTCATTGATAAAGTGGTATTTAGTGCTCCTTAACATCTCTATTTTTAATATTGTTATGTCATATTTTCCTGTGAATATAATCAGAAAACATATAAAAAAGGGGGATGATTCTTCTGGGATTTAACATATTAATATGATAGCATACTTTTAAATAAACCTCTACACTCTTAGTATAAATATTCATATGTGGTTAGCTATAGGAAGTTTCTCTATTTAAAAGATGTAACTTTAGTAGTTAATTTCTTATCTTACACAGTTATTTCTGTGTAAAGTTAGAAAATACATATTCAATGTTATTTAGTGTATTTTGTTAAATTAGAATTGGTGGCACAATAAATCATTCTGCTTTTGCCTCACTGTCTGCATTCTTTGACTTTTGTGTATAAAATCTATTGTTTAGTATTCAGTTTAATAGAAGAGCATCTGATAGAAGTTATATTTTCAAACATCTAAAATGTGATAATTGATTGTTGAAATTGCATTCTTAACAGTCTTGAAGACTCTGAAATATCTTTTGATTAACTTTCAAATATTGTTTTATGTTGTAATGATGTTACATGAATTTCATAGTTAAAGTGTATTTTATCATTCTCTAGATCTTTAAAAAGTAGTTACTTATTTTGATACAGCATTGCTTTCCCAGTTAACAGTACTGTTTATTGAGTTCAGTATATTGATTTACTTTACTATTTCTATTCTTATAAATAAAGTATTACAGGATGGTCAGGAAAAATTCACATTTTATTAGAAAACAAGGGATATCCTTTAGGAATTTTTTAGCTATGTTTAATTAGGAAATTAATATGTATTTACATGATGGAGCAACTATAGATAAAAGTGTATGTTCCTGTTTTAAACTATATGGTATATAAATATATAGTGTTTGATGAAGTGATTGCACAGGGAGAATCACTTAGAATAATTCACAATTTTGATACAGATATAAAACACATTTTATTAATTACATTGGATTTCCAGTCAGTCTAAGTTGTCAGTTACTTCAGGAGAAATTTGTACACAATGAGCTATGCTTACTGCAGATTAACACACATTTGTGGGACTGGAGTTCCCAGCGCCTCACAATAACGTACACACTGTGAAAAGCCGTCATTACTGTGAGGCTGACCAATGAGGGCAAACATCTGTAGTGAATGTGCTTCAAGAAGTAGAAAGAACTGGACCTAAGTAACTCATGCGAAGCAAGAGAAAAGAGAATCTAGTGGGTTGGCAGGGATGTATTAGTATCTGATGATGGGAAAAAGCTCTTGTCATAGCCTCCTGCTTGTATTTTATGGTTATAAAACTTGTAAGGAAAACTAATTCATTAGATGCTTCATATATAAAGAATAAATGCCCCATGTTAAAGCCACTGTTGACCTGATTAGTCACTGATTTTCAGTCATTCCTACTTAATTGTGCAGCACTATCCTCGCAATTGCCCAAGGTTCTGGGAAATTCTAGAACTTTGTTACACTCCTATAGCACATTCATTCTCAATTCCTTTGGCTTATTTCTTTTGAATCTGTCCCCTTCACTGCTCTAGATGCTTACGCTCTTACCAGAGCTTTGCTCCACCCAGCTCTTAACACTTCTCCAGTGCATTAACCCCTCATCAGCCCTGTCTCCTCGCAGGCCTACTTCAGCCCATCCTACACATCGCTGTTGGAGCGTACATTTTTTCTGAAATGTACGGTACTTCCACGATTAAAATTCTCCCATGGTTTCTCCTATCTTTCAGAAAACTTCAAACTGCTTACCTTAACGCATAAAACCAAAATGATCTCATTTCCCTGAGTTCATCTTCCTGTACTCAGCTCTGGTGAGCCTTTCACGCACAGTGGTGCACAGTGGTGGCTGGAACTCCCAAGGACAAACTGCTGGGATTTCACTGAGCTTACAGAACAGTGTGTGCGGTCTGTGTGCCTCCTTGCTAGGACACACTGGTTTAATAAATGACTGTATGTGTGGGAGAATTTGGTCTGAAATTTTTTTCATTAAACTGGATGGTGAGGTTAGGAGAAACAGCTAATTCTCACCTACCTTAAAGATTTTAGTGGGGAATGACAGTTAATCACCATAAAGAGTCTTATTACTTGTGTACAACTAAATTGCTCTTAATTTAGTTGTCAGTTCACAGCTGCAGTTCTCTGTCAGACACTGCAGTAGTCCTCACAGACCCCAACAATGATACAGTAAAGTGCCTAAAGTGGAAGATCAAAGATTTCAAATGCCCCTAGTCCATGATTAGTATAACACAAGCATAAACGAGGCACAGTGGGTCATGGAAGAACTGTTGTTATCCTTTCAGGAAGTAATACTTCACTGCTCTGGAAACATATGATTTATTAAAGTATTACTGAGGTGGCAATTAAAGTGTTCTACATAAAAACTGAAATAGCAAAGATTTTAGAGATTCAATTATATAGATTGTAGGAATGTATTAATTGAAATACTCTCTAATAATGCATATATGCTAGCTGATCAGTATTGTTTTTGGATATCCAAGCAAGGTAAAGTTATTTGGAAGGATTTGAGTTATAAAATTACCTATCTGGTGACAAATTTTATTCAATAAGAAAACAATTAAGGTCCTTGTTGTGTTAAGTATTTTTTTTATCAGGTTAGAGTGGAATTTCTGAGCCATGGCTGAATGAATGCAGTTATAAATGAAAAGATTCTCACCTCTGCAACTGTGTGTTGAATTTCCTGACATTTTCAGCTGATGAGAAAGTTGATATGAAACAGATGACTGCAATTCAAGGAAATCATTGTGTCACTTACGAAAGCTGTATACTTACTTAGCATTTGAAGAGATACTTATTGATGAAAATAAATGTTGTCAAAGAAAAGAAATTTGAGAAAGTCCTCAGATGACCACTTAATCAAGAAACATTATGTATCTATACTAGTATTTTAGTGTAGATGATGTGGAAAGAGCACACGCTTAAAGTAACGGAAAACTTGAGCTTTACTGCAGATTAGCACTGTAGCTTTGGGGAGCTGCTTAATGTCACTGAGCCTTTACTTCCCCTGAGGGTTGATATGAGGATTGAATGTAGATATGGATACACTTGGAGATGTAGATGTAGATATATGTATGTCTAGATACATAGTACTTATCATAGCAGAGCAGACAGATGTAACTTACACTTTATCTCTGTTTTAATGGGAAGTTTTAAAGGAATAAAAAACTAATGAAAAAATGACCTTAGTTTTTTCTTGATTAATCTCAAAGAGCAACCATAAGAGCCATTCTTTTAAAGAGACATAATTTAATCTGTAAGAATAATTTGTCACTCTTACTTCATGAATCTAATAAACATTATTATATCTTCCTTCATCAGAGCCCATGAAGGGAAATCCAAATCTAGTATTAAGGCTAGTAACAATCTTTTCCTTCAAAGTATGTAGTGAAGTGACAGGTTAAAAAGCCCATTAGTAACAAAATTTATAAGCATTATGCTAAGTGAAACAAGCCAAGCAGTGAAAGACAAATACCATATGATCTCACCTCTAAGTGGAACCTAATCAACAAAACAAATGAGCAAGCAAAATACAATCAGAGACACTGAAATAAACAACAATCTGACAGTAACCAGAGAAGATGGGGGAGAAGGATAATGGGGGATATTAGGGGAAGGTCCATCAAGGAACATGTATGAAGGACACATGGACAAAGCCAAAGGGGGTGGTTTCAAGGGTGGACGGTGGGGATGTGTGGGGTGGGGGGGCATGGATGGGTGAAAATGGAGACAATTGTACTTGAACAACAGTAAAAAAGAGCAAAACTTTGTTGTTACTGAAATTAATTAAAAGATGATACATGTGGATGACTAATTTTATATCTGTAGAGACTTTAGGAAACATTCCTAATATTTTTGGTATATACACCAAAACAATAGATGGCCTTGAACCCTATTAAGACATTGTGTATTCCAAAGATGACTGCAATAGTGTCTTTCATCCCATGTCTTACGTAGTGAACTTGGTGTCTACATCTCCTCTCCTTAGATCTGGGTGACATTACATTTTTGTAACAATAGTTTGTAGCTGCAGCTATGTTATGTTACATCTCTGACTAGGCCACAGACAGCCTCTTCTGCC